TATCAATCAGCTTTCTGTCACTATTACAAATACCTGATGTAGTCAACTTATAAAGAGAAAAGGCCATTCTGGCTTATGGTTTTTGAGGTTTCAGTACAAAATCAATTGCTTTAGGCAAGGCAGCACATCATGGCAGGAACCCATGGAGATGCAAATTTGTTCACCTCATGACCAGGAGGTAAAAAAGAGGAAATGGAAGGGGCTGGGATTTCACCATCCCCTTCAAGGGCACACCACAATGACCTGAAAGCCTCCCAGTTGGCCCCATCTCTTAAAACTTCTACAACCTTCCAATAGTATCACGATGGGGACCAAGCTTTTAATGCATGGACCTTTGAGGGACATGGACACATAAGATCCAAACTATAGCACCTATGATGCACCAAAGCCAGGAAGGAGAGGAGAGAGAAGGAAAGTGACAACTTTCCACTGCAGAAGGAAGTTGATCTTATACCAGGCCCCAGCTAAGAGCAGAGAAGTGTTACTTGGGGGATGGGTATTAGGGTATTGATTAATACATTAAACTGAACTTTCTAGTTTCTGAATTGAGACTGGTTTGTGATTTAAAGCATACTGAAAAAGTCCTGGGGGCTGCTGAATTTTACCTACATGGAAGGGTGCTGTGAGAGGCACAAATAAAATACATAGGTGTTTGAATTAATTGATCTGGTGAGTCTTGGTAGTTTAATGTCTTGTTGGCCACTGAGGAGAGACACATAATTTACTCATCCTTTAGGTAATCAGTGATGGAACCCTAATTGGAATCCAGGGCCTCACCGATGCCTGTGATAGGGTAGGATGTGTTTGCAAAGGGCTATGGGAGGAAAAGCAGGCAAGGATCATCTCTGGGGAGTAGGAGAGTGGGCAGCACAGAAGGTATCACATAGCTTGTGCTGGGGCTGGGCTGGGAGAAAAGTGACTGAGCTGAGCAAGGCGAGGTGCTTGATAGGGCCACTGATATTCAGGGGAGACCTGAATACCAGGTACTGGACAGAACTGGTGGAGAAGGCTTTTCAGGATTCTTTCTCTCACTCTCCAACTCAAACCCAGCTCCTTACAGGTGCAGGGAATTTTAGTATTTGTTTTTCTTTTTGAGATATGGTCTTGCTATGTTGCCTAGGCTGGTGTCATGAACAGAATGTCTTAAGACTTGAACTCCTGGGTTCAAGTGATTCTCATGTCTCAGTCTCCCAAGTAACTGGGATAACAGGTGTGGCCACCATGGCAGGCTGGGGAGTTTTAATGGGGGCAAGCAGGGCCTTGTGAGAAGCTGGTCTTTACAAGGAGGAGAAGGGCTTTGTAGAAAGTGTGGGAGTTTGTACTATGTGCATAGCTGTCTAGGAGGAAAAGGGCTTCCTAGGAGAAGCAGGGTTTATAGGATGAGCAGGGCTTAGAGAGGAGCCAGCTGTGCAAAGGAGTGGGATTTCCTAGGATCCAAGCATCCAAGGTGGGCTTTGTTGGAACTCGGCATGTCAGGTGGGGCAGGGTTGAGAAGACATGCAGGACTTTGTAAGCAGAAGTGGGCTTTGTAGAAGAGCAAGGTTTTTAAAGCAGGAGCAGCATTCTGTTGGGAGGACCAAGGCTCTTTAGGTTGGATAGGGCTTTGTTGGGATGATCAGGGCTTTGTTGGAGGAGCAGGGTTTTGGAAGGAGGCAGGTGGTTTGTAGGAAGGCAAGTCTGGGAGAAGCAGCAGGGTTTTACAGGAGGTGCAGGCTCAGTAGGAGAACCAGCCTTTTCATGGAAGGTTAGTTTGTAAAGGGACAAGACTCGGCAAGAGAAAGTCAACATGTTAAGGAGGGGTTGGCTTTGTAGGAAGAGCGGGATTTCCCAAGGAGATTAGGGCTTGCAGGAGGAGGACACAGAGAACAAGTCCCTGGAATCGTCCTGGGGATTCCAAGGTGGGGTGGAGCTTTGTAGGAGTGGGGCTTTGTATGAGGAGCAGGGTTTTGTAAGGATGGTGGAGTTTTGTGAGATGGGATAGCGTTTTGAAGGGTTGTGGCTGTGGAGGCACAGTTGTGGCTTTGGGAGAAAGTATGGGGCTTTGTAGGAGTAGGAAGGCCATGTCATTGTCAGCTGGGCTTCAAGGGCGCAGTGGAGCTCTGTAGGAGGAGAGGGGTTTTGTATTGAAGGCCAAGTCTGAGGAGGAGGAGGAGGAGGTCTTTGTAAGAGGCACAGGTGTTGAGGAACTGCACTTGGTGAGGAGCAGGGAGGAACAAGACTTGGGAGGAGGGACAGGCTTTAGGGGAGCAGGATGCTGTGAGACAGAAGGAGCTGTGGGGAGAATTGGGGGTTTATAAGAAACCGAGCTTTATAAAGACCAGGGATTTGTCTGAAGAGTAGGCATTTGCAGGCGGGATAAAAAAGAAACAGGATTTGTTCCTTTTTCTTACTTTCATTACCATACATAAGTAGTACAAGGGGGGTTAATTGTGGTAATTCCATGGACGTGTATGAACAAGTTCACCCCCTCTACTACATTCCTTAACTCTCTCCTGGCTGCCCCCTTTAAACAGTTTGGTGGTTTTCATTATGATACATATGTAATGTACTTCAATCCTCTTCACTCAGTAGTGTTTCTTTTCAATGGGTGGAGTTGCTGCTTACTTATCTTTTTGTGCATGATTCTACATTTGTTTTTTAGTGTAGCTATCTTGGCACCCCAAACAGGGACTTGGGTATTAAGTAGAGTTTTACAAGGCTTCCAGAAAAGTACTACCTGCAAATTCCCCAGCAACACAAAAAGCTGAGCTTCTCAGGCCTCACCTGAGTGAACAACCTTGTTCATATCTTTCTAGACTAATGAGGTCAGGGCTGAGCCTGTGGTGACAAAAACATTTCTAAGACCTGAGTAAATGTGACTTCTTTGCTCAAATGGAGGTGTGGGAGCATGGTTAGCAGGTTACAAAACTGTTTTCCTGCTTGGGACGGCTTCATTATGTCCTGGAGACTTCCTCACATGTTCTGTGAGCAAGAGGAGAGAAATATATGCTACATTTTTTGAGCACTTCCTATGCAGGATCCTCCATGCTCTTTCTCATTCTGCAGTAGACTTGGAGAGAGTGGGGTTAAAGGATGGAAGGAAGCCAAATCCTGCTGGAGTGCACCTCACCACAAGGCTTGGGGTTTCCAGCCACCTTCAGGGTTCAGTGTGCATGCAGAGTGTGATAAAAACAAAGGAAATAATCTTAATTTACTTGTGCCTTTCTTGGACTCCTGATTACTTTCTCAAGATTCTTTGGATTTGATTAATCTAACAAAACAAGAAATTCCCACCAGGGTATGTCTGTGCAGACACCTGAAGTATTAGTTGAGGGCCATTTTAAAACGGAACAGCTCAACTAGGGGAGAAGGGAAAGAAGAAGAGAATGATAGAGAGTGAGTAATACTGAAATGCATCGCATCTACGTAGGAACAAGATACAACAAAACACTGAAAACTGTTGACCAATACAAGGTAGGGGAACAGAGTAAGGTACAGAGGGTGTTAGACTGATTAAAGTTCTGTATATTTACAGGTAAAGTACCAGGCAACCCCTACCCTGAAAGTGAACAGACACATGAACGATGAAGGACAGGAATGTAAAACAAGTTACAATAAGGGGAGGGCACTAGTGGGTGGAGGAGGGTAAATGAAGAGGGTAAAGGAGGGTGAATATGGTTTACGTATTTTCTACATATGTATGAATACGGAACATGAAACCTGTCAAAGCCATTTTAGGAAAGGGGAGGGTAAAGAAGAATTATACTGGAGAAGCAAACCAAACAGGGCTACGCTGTATGCATATATGGAATTGTCACAACACCTCCCTCCCCCACCCCATAAAACTACTATGTACTAAGGAAAACATTAAAAAAGCCAAAGAGAACAAACAAAAAACTGAACAGCTCAAGGTTCTTTAGAAAATGTTTATGATCTCAAATATTCAACAAATTTCAATAAAATTTGCTACGGGAAGGAAAAAAAATTGCTATGGGAGTAGTACTGAAAGGAGCTATTTTAAACAGAGAATACAATCTATAGCTACTAATATTAAACAGATGACAAACAATAAATTATGCAATCAAAAAATTTTAATAACAAAGATACTATTTTTAACATGGTCAAATATATGTGGCTAAGCCCAGACTTTTTTTATTTTTTAAAAACGTATCTAGCCCAACAGTACAATCATACAGCTTTGTACAGAACATTCCATAGATCAACAAAAAATACATTTGGGCATAAAAATAAAAAATATTTAAAGAGACTCTAAGCAGCATTTTATTTCTGCAAAACAGACATATATCTTATACTGATTAAATATCTACAAGTGCTTTTCCTTTACAAAAATACATATATTCTTAATAGACTAAGTCATTAACAATGACCTGGTAATTCTTTCACTTCAATTTGAATGATTTATAAGCTAAGTCTTACAACCACAAAAAGGTTTTTATTTGTTTTAAGATGTTACCACTTTTGACAAAAAGCTTAAAACATTTCATATTTCAAAGTAAAATTAGCAACATAACTTTACAATATATGCTATGATAGCTTTACTTATTGAGGGCTACTTTGTGTAAGAACTGATCCCGGTTGTGTTGCCAGATGCAGGAAAGCAGTGGAACATTGGTACCCCTCCCCCAAGCTCTTGCCTGGACCACAGCTTCATAAGGACACTTAGGCCCCACCCCCATTCTAGAAAAACAAGAGGAAAGGAAAACTGCCCTCAAACAAAGTTAGGCTGATCTTATTTTAATGTGTAGAACTGCTCCAGTGGACTGATGTGAAGTGTATGGATAGGTAAGTCAGCTGTTTACTTTCTGTACACTACTCAGAAATACTTACTCTTATTTCTACTGAATTAGTTTATTCCATAAAGATCTGTAAGATGGAAGAAAACTAGTCTCAGTATTTAACATATATCTGCTTCACTTGATTCTAGATTTAAAGATAATTAAATTTGAAAAGCATTTCTGAAAAATCAGTCTTAAGTTTTGAATCACAGAAGAAGGGGCATAATGAGTATACAAACATTCGCATGAGCATTTAAAGTAATTAAATTATCTCTAAGTTTGATTTTATAACTTTCTGAAAAGGAAGTGCTCAAGCATTTAAATTCTATTTGAAAATACAAGGGCAGCAAGTAAACATGCCATTTGTGAAAACTACTACAGGAAGAGAATCACTTTTAAATTACTAGAAAAACATCATTGCTTTAACAAAAACAAAAGTATGAAAACGCTGTACTGTCTAGTACATTTTAATGAACTTTCAGCCTCATGTTTTCCACCAAAATACTACTGAACTGTCAAGTAAATCCAGAAACACCTGGTTATTTTGTGCTTTGAAAAGGCTTCTGAGTCTTTAGTGTATTTAATATCTTTCAAGAATCAGATCTAGCAGATATGCTATGCTCTTTAATTGCTCTCCAAACTATTAGGGATATATACCTTAAAATAATGATAACAGCATTTTAAGTTTTTGTGTTTCTAATTCAGAAAAGTTATGACAAACTTACTCATTTTTGATATTCCTACAACCAGAATATATCTTACTGATATAAAGTTTATTTTGCTAGAAAATTCTTTCTGATAGACCAGAGTAATGGGTTAGGGATGTAGCTCAGTGGTACAGTGCTTGCCTAGGTCAGACTATGTAATAGAGTGTGAGAATGTTTTTCTCCCATCCGAGGAGGCTTACCCTCATGACCTGTCAGACAGACTTCATAATGTGAGTTAAAGGTGATGTAGAGATGAACTTCCAGGGAGAAATGTCACAACAGTACACCTCTCTTGATGGACATAAAAGCTCTTGTTCTGTGATCCATTTTGTCAAATTTGGCTGCATGGCTAAACTCTAATAACAATACAGTAACTGCTAAAAAACAAGACAGAGTTGTCTATTTAAGAAAAAAAAGGCCCTTATGAAAATTTTGCTTTAGAATATAGAAATTCTATAAATCCAATAGAACCTGCATATCAGCACTTTTACCAAACTGTCTTTAATAAAATTTCTCATTTTACTAAGAACCCAGGAGCTAAATAAGTATAATTTATTTTATACTGCCTCCAGAGAATGAAATGCTTCTTAAAATTTAAAATCTCAATTTTCTTTAAAAATATGTATTTCTCCCACTTTTCATTTAGCTGGGGGCTATTTGTTGTATTTATCTCTTTCTTCTTTCTCACATTTGAGGATTTCCTAAGATCTATTATATGGTGCTAAAAAAAAAAAGTGAACACATTTGAAGGAAGTGTGCTCTGGTTATTACAAAAAACAACCAACCAACCAACCAACCAACCAACAAACCTGCATTTGACTGATCTCACCAAGAAAATTGGTTTTAAAGCCTTTCTTTGGTGATATTTAGCAATTAATCAAGGTTATTGCCTAACTACATTATGTAAAATTAAGTTGTAATCTAAACATTTCCAACCTCTGAACTGGTAAAACTATCTCTCTAACATGGTTATTAATTAAGAGTAATGTCTTTGGTGATATCTAAATTCTTATGAAAATCTTTTAAAAAGAGACTAGTCTCATGTGCAAGTGTCTATTTAGATAGGAAACCATTCATAAGAGACAGGTACAGATAACTCAAAACTTATGCACTAAATTGAAAACACAAATGCACTTAGCAATGAGGCACTTTCTTTTAAATATTCAATAAAGCTAAACAGTTCACAATGTTACATAATACTTCTTAAAGAATCAGTTTAAATTTAGGTAACATTTGAGTGTACAATATAGTTGAGCACACTCATTACACTTACAAAATGTGGCATATTAGTGTGGGAAACATGTTCAATGAATAAAGAAACAATATTTAAAGATACTTAAAAGACATTGCCCAAGTTACGCAAACCCTATCCTTAATATTACCTCATCAGTGAACCCTTTCCTTTATTTTTTCATACCTCTTAAAAAGTGTCTTAGTAATCTAAAGAAAGGGTCATATTTTGATTTCTTTATAAATTGATGTGATTCAATTTAAAGTGATTTATAAATCACAGGCATTCTTTATATCCAAGATTCCTTCACCCTTTTATAGCTGGTTTTTAAGGCAGATAGAACAGATAAAATCTTTTATGGAAGTAAAGTTCTTTCAGTTTATTGCTTAAGAAATAACAGATTAAAGAATAAATTAATTCAGGTTTATTTCTGATTTTACAGATTCAAATAATTATTCCTATAAGTTATTTATATAAACAGTTTGTTTTTAGCACTCTATATTTATAAAGCTAACCACAAAAGGCGCCTGTACATTTTTTTAATACCTGGCTTCTTGTAAATTCTATAACCTGAAGTAAAGGTAGTTATAACTGGGAATATTGTATTACTAGACATGAAAGTAGTTCCATACTTAAGAAACTCCTAGTTGATATACTGAAAGAGGTTGGCTGAAGAAGTCTATGGTTGTAGTAGCAATACCATATTATTCAGGACAATGAAAAAATGTGTACCTTTTTCCAAATAGCAATTGATTAAGTCAGATTTTAACATGTTTTGGCACATATTCCATTGCATTTCAGTAAAATGTCAATGCATTAATGTTAAATAAAGGAATTTTACATAAAACTATTCTCAATTCCATAATTATTTCCTATATGTTTGCTTGGAAAATAGTGAAGTGACTAATGATCAGGCAACAGGTCAAATTTAAAGAGATCTTGTATATAAAACTCATTTATGACCATAAATTTTGGCTGGGGAGCCAAACATCTCAGTCTCACCTGTGGTTTTCAAAATGTACTCTTAATTAATTTTGAGTTAATTAAAATTAACTTCCATATGTAAAACACCATTTTAATCACTGGTCTACATGTGACAAATTTATAATAACTGAAAAAATTTCTTAGGAAAATCTAGGAACTAGGTTTCACAGCACAGGAAAATAATTTCTGTAGCTAGATAATAAATTCAGGCTTTGGCTGAGGGTAATGGTATTCTCCAAGAAGCATTTAAAGACTTAATGAAAGTTGCCTTTTAAATTCTGCTTGTGAGCCCTTCCAAGAACAAACATAATTTAATAAAATAAAGTTAAGAAGGTACCGTTGTAACCTTCACAAAAGTCAGAACAACAGAAAACTTCAAACTTTATAAACTTTTTGACTTGAAAAAAATGATGAACTTTCAGCCTTTTAAATTATGAAATGCATCAAGACTGAGCAATATCTGTATGCTTCTTGGAGTTGTACAATGTTTTATTTCTATGAAGCATTTTGAAATTCAGAAGGCATGAATGTGACGCAGTTACTAGAAACTGTAGCACATGTGCCATGCATACAGTATAAAAACTTTGTGTGTAACACAGACTGTGTATGTCAGATTTCTAAAACAAGTAATTTCTCCTAATTTTCAAGATTCTTTTCCAAGTTTCAAAGATTAAGTTGTTTGTTTCAAAGTAACTGATGAAACAATTTTCAAGAAGGTCTTTGAAAAACAGCTATATACTTTAAGAGGTTTATAATGAAGTTTTTCATGTAATTTAAAGGAACAAGACATTCTTTGATTTGCAGACTAATCCCAAATTGAATGGAAGACTTAACAAAACCGCAAAATCAAGGACATTATCATAGTTCTGACCTTTAATGAACTCACATGTAAAACAACAATCCCATTTCCCCCTGATTACTACAGTATCTAAAATAAAATATCCTCAAAGCATTAATTCTGATTAGCATATTTACCTACTACACTGCATTTATTCTATTTTATGCATATAGTTTGGAAATGTGATAGGTAATAGTTTTAATCTACAACTGCTTTGAGACTTGAAATCCATAAAATAGCTAATGTTATCTGCTCTAAAAATCCTAATATTTAAAATCATCATACATAACCTTCTGCATGCCACAGTGACACACACATAAGGCCAACTTAAAAAGAAAACAATGCATTCGGTAAGTAACAGCAACAATGTAATGATACGTACATAAAATGGGCTACACGATGAAGTTTCATGAAGCAGCACCCACTGGTCATAAGGCATTATGAAAGATTAACCTTACTTATGCAACAATTTTATTAGAAGTCACTGTGATGAGCTGCCAACATTTCGAATGGTTGTGAATCTAACTTCGGTTGTCCAAGAAGTGATATACATTTTCAATCTGGAGGACTAACATGTCTTCCTTGTGCAACTGATAGACTACACAGACAGATGCTTAGAATGTCTACAAAAATGATGTGCTCTAATGCAAAAGAAAAATTGGAATTCTCCACAAAAGGACTTGCAGCCTCAAGAATGAGCTATTATTTTTTTTTTTACACAAAAAGCTTACTAACAACAGGGCAGTGGCTCAGAAACCACTTTTCTAAATATATTTCCAGACAAAATAATTTCAAGGTATAATTACTAGGTTCTTGTACAGTACTCTATTTAAACAAGAATTAATAAAATAGTTGACTGTGGAAACTGTAACACCACAAAGATTGAGACATTTAACTAGTGTAATTAAACATTAGAACAATCTTGGAACAGGCAAGCAAAATATTCAGAAGGCTGAATCACAGCTGTACACCCAACTGATTTCGAACCTGACTTGCACACGGTGAGACAGCACAATTACCCTATGCAGATGGTTCAGTAGCAGAATGGCACTTGATTTGATCTTAATAGAAACAATGTGAATGCAACTGACAGTTCAGAGACAGACAATGGCCTTATTTGCATGCTGAAAATCTGATTGTGTCCCTCTAGTCCACACTCCATTCACTATGCAATCTGTTGATGAGTAAACAAATAGTGCAGGATTCATTTCAGAGATATCTAGGCCCGTTGGCCTAACCAAAATCAATTCTTGGTCGATACTGCAATACCATAGGGTATGACTAGAAAATAAAAACAAATGGTGAATAAGACCGTGTTTACATAAAAACAGTGTAATTTATATTCAAAGCTCTTAAGAATTTGGGGTTATAATTTACAATATTTCCTGGTACTGGTGAATATAGCAGGTAAGATTTAAGTTGCCATTTAAGATTTAAGGTACTACCATTAACACTATTTCTTTTAATTGCCATTATTTTTCTTGAATCAGTCAGCTTTTCACCAATATGCAGCAGAGGTCATGTTCAAAGGCCTAGATATCATACAGGGTCCCATATGTGATCAGTACCATGGGCCTGTGAAAGAGTACAAGCTACATGCCTTGTGTCCAGGCATCCCACTGGTGACCCTGTGGGGCTGAGCAAAAGGAGCCGGCAGGCTGGACTCTCTCAGAGCTGTTGCTGGTGAGAACCCAATGACTCCTCAAGAGGATACCCAAAGCTATGAAGCTATGAAGCTATGAAACTGGAGTAGTTTTCACAAAGTACATTTTTTATAAATTTGATGCTTTTCTCTTTTTCCATTTAAAATTTGTGTCACTGGTTTTTTTTTTTAAATATTGAAAAACAAGTAATTGTTATATGAAATATTTAGGTCACTATGTATTTTCAGTAGCCAGTTGATACTATTAAATATTCATATCTGTTATATAATTGGAAGGTTTACCTTGGTGTCACTTTGTGTAGAAAAGGTATCATACATCTGGCTACCATACAGTTCTAGAGAGGAAAGAGCTTGCAGATAAAGGCATATGTTTTTACCTCTATTTCACAAAGTCAGAAAGGGTCTGAAGAACCAATGATTTCTCTTTTCTTAAAGCTGCAGGTTCCCCTTTGTAAAATGAAATTTGAGGAGCTACTTTTATGAAATCAAGAAAAAGCACAGTGGCTCACACCTGTAACTCCAGCTACTAGAGAGGTGGAGATCAGGAGGATTGTGGTTTGAGGCCAGCTTAGGCAAAAAATGAGTGAGAGCCCATCTGAATCAGTAAGCTGGGCATGGTGGTGCATGCTGTCATCCCAGCTAAGTAGCTCTAAGTAGGAGGATCTCAGTCCCCAAGGCTGTGTCCCAGAAAAAATTCTGAGACTCCATCTGTAAAAATATTGAAAGCAAAAGGGCTGGGGACATGGCTCAAGTGGTCTGCCTAGAAAGTGCAAGGTGCTGATTTCTACGAGAAAAGAAAAGAAAAAGGCCAAGATGGCCACTGGCCAATGTTTCTCTATCTTAGTGTACGGGAATGCAGAGATGTGGTTAAGATGTGGATTCTTTTAGATAGATAAAAAGGATAGATTCACATCCTACAATCCTGAAAGTGGCCATTTCAGCATTTACAGCTATGTCGTTATATACTGAGAAGATTCAGTGTTGGGGTACTTTACCTTTCAGCTCAGATTAGGACATGGGGTAGGACTTGAGGAAGCACTACCAGATTTCTAAGGGCTAGAGTAAAAGTCTGTCTCTCAAGGTTTACATGGTCTAAAATTATACTAGTTTAAATTTTATTTAGTTGTTTTTATTTTAAACTTTACTTGGCTCCAGCAGAATCATTATCTGGGAGTGGGGCAAAGAAACCTGCATTTTACAAAACTCTCTGGGTGTTTCTGTAGCAGTCAGCCAGCTTTTGAGACCACTAAGAGTCACCCTAACCTAAGGTTATTAAATCCCATTCCACCCTATACTCCAACCCAAAGTTTGCCCCATGCTGTAAATAGCCCTTCAAACTTTGCTTTCTTTTTCTGATTGTTGAATTGTGCACTTTCTGCAAGTGTGTCACTTGTTTGAGAATACACGCATCTTATACGATTGTACTACACATGATGGTAGAGAGGAGAGTAAAATGGCTTAGTTGTCAGTGGTTGAAATTTTCTCAGATAGTTTTGTTTTCTCCTCCAAGAAACTATTTGTGTTTGTTCAATGCCCACATATGAGGTTTAATAATTTTATTGAAATGTATCAGAACACTGATAATTCTTGGTACACTTTAAGTTCTATTTGTGTTTTAGTTTGCTTTCTGAGGTAAAATGGAACTGTACTACTACAATGAAATATGGCATATCATTCATTATCAATTAGTGTTAAGTGATTTATACTGAATGGACCTACATTTCATAGACTTTCTAGTCCTCAAGTGTCATTATGTAATAAAAACAAAGTGTAGATATGCTCAAAGTATACTCTTCATGTGATAATCTTAGAGAGTAAGACTGTCTTTGATTGATGTACTTTTTCCTTATTTTAAGAATAAATTATTTTTATCATAAAAGTGACTTGTTTTTACTGTAAATTTGGAAAGAACAGAAAAGCACCAAGGCAAGAGAAGAAAATTATTTAAATCCAACCCAGTCCTTTTGCTTTTGGTTTGTTTTTCAGATAGGGTCTCCTACTAACTTCGTCTGGGCTGGTCTCAAAACCACCGTCCTCTTACCTTCATTTCCTGAGTACCTAGGACTACAGGTGTACACCACCACACCCAACTTGTTTTTAAGCTAGAGTCTTGCTAACTTTTGCCCAGACTGGCCTCAAACCATGATCCTCCTGTTTCTCCCTCAAAAGTAGCTGGGATGTCGTTTGGTAAGTAATTTTGTTCATTTGAAATTCCATAAACATATTTCTATGCCATTGAATACAGTCTTACATGATATTTTAATAGCTCCATATTATGCTAATTAAAGAAATGAACCATAAATTACATGTGTCTCCTCTTACTATATATTTGAGTTTATTCCAACTTTTTTTTTGCTATTGTAAATTAATCTTGACCCAATGATTTATATCTCAGGATGTGAATTTCCCCCAGGATAGAGTCCTAGAAATGGAACTACTAGTTTATAAACCACACACACATTTAAAAAGGTTTTCTGGCAAATATTGCCAGACTCGTCTTCAAGTAATTTGCTCTGCTTTTACAGTTCTAAAAGAAATATGAGTGCCCATTTCACCAGAGCCTTGCTGATAAGAGTATTATTCCTTCCCTGTCCTAATTTGTTAATTTAATAAACATAAAATAGTATTTTATTTCTTTTTGCATTTCTTGACTTCTAAAGAAGTTAACCATTTCTGTATGTTTATTAGCCAACTGTACTTCCTTTTTTGGTAACTTGCCTTTGTTCATTTCTCGGTGGAAAGTTAAGCTTTTCCTCTAGAAATATGAATTGCTTATTATTAATGGCATCAATCCTTTTTCTCACATACTGAAAATACTTACTTCTCAGATTTTTGCCTTGTACTTTTCAACATTAATAGTTAACTTGATTAGTCTTCCCCCTCCCCCACCCATAGGTACAATGTGAAAACCCATACCAACCAAGAGATTAGTTTCTCAACTGTATTTTCTTCTTGATCTTTTATGGTATCACTTTAAATACTTACCACTTTAAACCACTGGAGACTAACTCTGGTGGTGAAGTCCCTTGCCACAATCAGTACCATTGATGGAAACAAGCTCTGTGAGATCTGCATCCTACCTTCCACCCTACAGCTCTGACTGCACAATTTCCAGTCACCTTCTTCTGTACTGTCTGCTCTGCACCATGGCCTCCTTGCAGTTCTCAAACTAACATATACCCACTGCTCAGAGCCTTCCCAGTTGGTTCCCTCTGAGTGAAGTGCTCTACATGAGATGTTCCCTTCCTTCCCATCAAAAACCACAGCACCAAAGAAGTCTTCCTTTGTTTATGTTATAAAATATAGTCTATCTATCTACTTTAAAATTTTTTAATTTTTTTTTGTCTGTTAAAAACAGTCATCAGAGTATAAGTTCCATGGGAGAAAGACATGTTCATGTTTACTTCCCTGGACGAGAAGCGTGCCCAGTGTGCACTACATGCTCAATCCATATTTGTTAAAGGAGTTTTCCTCCATTAATTTGAAATACTGTCTTATAGACTCATACATACTAGTGTCTATTCCTGAGCATTCTTTATATTCAAATATCTATGTTTAAGTTAGTACCTGATTCTAACTATTAAAGCTTCATAATGTGTTTTACCACGTGGCAGTGAACTTGTCCACTAGTTACTCACTTTAAAAATGTGACTGACCAGAGGTGCCTGCCTGTACTTCTGGATGAACTTTAGAATGGTTAACTTTGTCAAGAAAAACAAGAATCTGATAAAAGTGTGTTTGGAATTACACTTAAATTCAGAATTTAATCACAAGGAGAACACACTATTTATATTTCTTGTATGTATGAAATGGAATTTTGGATATATATGAGTAGTTGTCTTTGTCCTTAAGAAATACATGATGAAATATTTACTGGTCAATTTTCATGACACCTAAGTTGTTTTCAAATAAACTCCACCAGGTGCATATAAATAGAGCAATAAGAAAAGGAGATGGGAAAGGGAAGAGAGGGAAAAGGAGGCAGGAAAAGTGGTAAAATGTTAATTGGTAAATCTAGGAAAAGAATAGTCCCTGAAATAATTATTTCAACATTTTATGGTTTTGAAAAATTTCAAAATAAGAAGCTGGTGGGAAAAATCAGTACTTAATATTGAATTTTATCAAATGCCTTTTTAGCCTCTACTAGTGGGTTTTGTGTGTGTGTGTGTGTGTGTGTGTAAAATATAAGCTTATTATTTATCTCTCTAGTTCCTCCACAACATTAAGCCACTCTTGTATTTCTGATAAAAACTCCACTAGGTCTTGGTCTATATTCTTTTGTATAGTATTTTAGCATATTATTTAGTGTATTTTAGGATATTATTTATCATCTTTGTAAATTTATTTATATTCAAAATGAGATTTGGTGCTAGTTTTCTAATTGTGATTTCTCTGTCAATTTTTTTGCTATATTTATCTTTCATGAAATGAATTTGGAGAAGTTTTAAAAACATTCAATTTTCTTACAAGATCATTAGCCATAATGAAGTGTTGTAAAAGGAAATTAGTGTTGATTTGAATATTTGTCTTATTCTACTTGTTATTTAAAGCATAGGGTCAGAGTTTAAGAAAATAGACACCAATATCAAGAATAAAAGCAAAAAGCCATGTATGTATGGTTTAGAGCTATGAAAAAGGTGTAGCACCACAAGTCACCATCCCAAAGTCAGCTATGAATCTTAAAGATGAAGGAAGTATGTAGTTCAGATTTTTACAGATTTCACTAGGTCAACTAAGTCATTTGCTCACCCTCATTTTCAGCTCTGTAATGCAAGCAGAAAGATGACTTTGCTGCCTAAACAACTTTCTCTTGGCCTTTATATTAGCTTGCTCCATTTCTAAGAAATTAGGACTTACACCATGTGTATCAAAAAGCACATATCTTAATGAGGCATGGGGATTCCCCTATCACAGCAAAAGATTGAGGGAAATTCTAGATAAATTGATAATTAAAATTTTTTGATTAGGGATTTGAAATGTTCTATTAATCCTTAGAGTATATTAATTTGTCCCAACACTAAACTTTACTTAAGTTGTTACATAATTCCATTTTGTTAGCTACAAAGAAATAGGATGAACTCTACCTTCATTTCTGGGGTAAAAAAACAATGTATATTTTAAAGAAATGCTAAAACTAGTCCATGAGATTGAGGTTGTGCACAGATTATTTTTGGTGGGACTGGAGTTTGAACTCAGGGCTTCACACTTGCAAAGAAGGCACTCTAACAGCTTGAGTCATTCCTCCGGTTGACAGATCATCTTTAACAATAATCTTTACTATACTACTCTTAGTCTCTTCTGTTTTCCAAATTTTTATTATTTTAGTTTTTTCATTTTTGGCAGTACTGGGGTTTCAACTCAGGGCCTCATGCTTGCTTGGTAGGTGTTCTATTGCCTGAGCCGTCCTCCCCTCATTTCTCAGGTAGGGGGCCTATGTTTTTGATCAGGTGGGCCTGAGACCACAATCATCCTACTTTTGACCTCCTGCACAGCTGGGATGAACCACTGTGCCTGGCTCCAATTTTTTTTTTTTTTTTTGGAAGTACTGGGTTTGAATAAGCAAGGTCTGGAGCTTGCTGGGTAGATAGGTGCTCTACCATTTGAGCCACACACCTCCTGGCCCCAAATCTTTCAAAAGTATTTTAACTACATAAACTTTCTTTAGACACATGATCCAGCTTTCCCAGTGCATTACTAAATCAGCTCACTGCGATTTCATTTTTAAGAGGTAACCCAAGTAAATTTAGCATTTGCTGCTATTTAGAGCCACCCAATCAGGCACAGCACCTTTCACTTATAGATAATTGACTCATTAAAAAAAAAAAAACACTTATCCAAAGAAGGTAACACTCTAATCCAATATGGATCAGAGCTTTTTCAAGGGCTGAAATTGGTAAATAAAAATTCCTTACTCATAAATAATGACTTTATATAAAGTTTCATTTTTATATTTTTAAATTTTTATTTTTTGCAGTGCTGGGGATTGAATCCATATGCTAGGCAAGTGATGTACCACTGAGCTACACCCCAGCCTATGCTTTCATTTTTAGCTTAACTAAAATTAAATAGTTAATTCAGGAGAACTGGAATAGCGGGAAACTCTGAGTATTTAAGTTTTGAAAAGATAAAAAAAAACATTTGTTTCACATAAAAGTGGTGTGTCTGAGGAACTGGGGTCTGGGATGAGAGCAGTCCCTGCGTGGTATCATGATGGTCATATGTACCGTCGTGAGTGCCTCTTACCTGATACAAAGGGCCATCCTGAGAGCAGACTTGCGAAGCTGAGCAGTTCAGACACCGAAACTGCGGAGGAGATGAACTCATCAGATAAGAGGCATCCACAACTGGATACATATTTAAAACTGATTATTTAAAAGAGTTTAACGTCAAACATAAGAGTTAACATGATTAATTTTAAATAAACACTTTGAGAAAATGGTAGTTGTTTTTGAAAAATAGATTTGATAAATTAGTGATTGGTAAAATTTAGCAATTGGTAATTTTAGCATCTAGCTATAAATGTGTTTAATCTTCTGTAAATACCAAAATGGTGTCCTATCCTTCCATTTCCTTTTCAAATACTAATTCCTGGGAAATCCTCACCTCTTAGTCCACAAGGGGTGCCCTGTTTCTTTGATTGCTTCTAGGTCTATTGAACTACCCCTGAGAGCAGTCCAGTTGGAGGCGATCAGAGTTCCGAATGGGCGTGAAGCTTTGCTCAACCTGTAAGGGGTCTGTTTTCTATTCTCTATTAGGTTCTTTACATTGCTCAGATTTGATTTTAATAGCTTTAGATTTTGAGCTACTGAAATCTATTTCATGATCATATTTGTAGTCTTGATAGTTAAGGTCCAGAACTAGCACACAACAGTAAACAGATTTTAAAACTACTGAGTAGACTCCTTTGTAAATCTACTACCTTTGAACAATTTAACTACTCACATTAAACAATCATTCCCAGAGTGGGTGAATTCAACTATGATATGTAAGAACTTTTGTAAATGTCACAATGTCCTGCAGTACAACAATATGATAATAAAAAGTTAAAAATACAACAAAAAGATGAAAAAAATCAGTAAAAATAGTCATTCTGCATAGTTTTTTCATTGTAAACTTCTTATACATACAAATGAACCAAATCTTTTCTCATTTAAGTTTGTAAAGAGAATGATCACCTCTAACATTTAAAAGTTTTTAATTAGATCAAGTTAATTTTAGTAGACAAATTAAGATGTAATTCATGCCAATTTTTTGAAAATAATCTATAACTATTCTTTTCATGTAAAAGATACATATGTATTGAAAAGCAATGTAAGAAATAGTAACTTATTAAAATAAAATTTTAAAGTTAAAAAATATTGTTCCCAATCTTGATTTTTAAAATATTATGCTGAACATTTATTAAATACAGATATAATTTTAATTGTGGTGGAACTACAAAATATAAAATTTACACTTTAAAATTATGCATATAGGAAATCAACATTTCACACTCTTCAAAATGAAAAAATTAAACACATAAAAAAGCGAGTTGTAAATTAACCTGGAAAATGCTAATTCCCAGAATAGAGTTTTAAAAGATACACTTTGATTACTATTATACATTTTCTATTTCTCCAAAATACTTCAGCATTCTTTTCTTCTAGAAGTTGGTCCTTGATGTTCAGCTCATTGACATGCTGAACACATGCCCAGAACTGCTATTCTTTGGTGATCATCTCCTTTCTCTCTGAAAAGTCCCCAAGCTCTGGCCTATTGAATTTTGCCTAATTATACAAATTGCAAAAAGCATTCAACAAGAATGCAGCATTAAGGCGGAAAGAGGTAATTTCAGTAATTTTTTTTGACTGATATCTGTCAAGGTGTATATGTTTGCATTTCCTAAAATTGCCAGATAATGCAAATAAGTGAAGAAAGACTAGCATGAAGTAGTCACTTTTGGTGCTGGATTGGCAGAGGTTGCTGGTGGGATTGAAAAGGGTCATCTGGGAAAAGTCGGCTAAATTGAGAATATGTGCTCAGGCTACCCAAGGCCAGGTAGATAAGTAGGAAGAACGTGAGTCCATGATGACAGCTGAGGCTAAACAGTAAGCTCTCACTAAGTGAAGGAGGGAGAACTATAATCGTAACAAAAGTTAACACACATCAACTATCACTAAAAACCCAACATTTATTATGTAACATATCTGATAAGCACTTTTGTATATGATACTTCATTAATTCTTGCTAAATTTTCCAACACAGGTATTGTCTTAACTGTAAAAATCAAAAATTGAGAAAAGCTAGGAGGCAGAACACATGGGGGAGAAAACAGCAGCAACATATTTAACAGAGGATTCATATTCAGAACACAGGACAGTTCCTAGAAGTCAACAAGAAAAACACAAACATAATGATGAAAGAAACCAAGGCAAAGGATATGAAAGTTCACAGATGAAATATAAAATTGATAGGATGACGTGTCAGTGAGGATGTCAGAAGACAGGCTCTCACAAACATTATCGGTATGATTACAAACTGTTAAATCTCTACAGAGGACAATTTGCTAGTGCTCTCAGAATTTAAAACTTCCATACGCCATTGTAAATCTACTTTTAGGAATCTAGACAATGGGTATGCTGGCACATGTACAGAAGATGCGTGAACTGGAATACATGCAGCACTGTCAGTAATGTCAAAAAACTTGAAAGAAATTAAATGATACAGGATTAGGATACAGTCACACAAATCAAATCCTATCACTATATTAAAAATAATAATTTGAAAATTTAGTGATTCTCAAGACTACTACCAAATGAGAAAAAGAAGTTATAAAACATTACATACAATTCCATTTATGTCTCCAAAAAACTGTGATGATCACTGATATGAAGAGGATGCAGGTATTACACCGATGATAAGATTAGATGAGTGAGTTTTCAAACTGAGATCTGACTCTCTAATTACCCACAATTTGTAGATGAGGAAGCCATAGGACAAATCAATGGTCACAGGTCATGTCTTCTAAAACTCTGTTGCTCCAAAGTTGGTCCAAATATCAGATGCACTCCTGTCTCTTGGGAGTTTGCTAGCAATGGAGAATCTTGGCCAACCCTAACTTTCTAAGTCAGAATTATACTTCACTAAGATCCCTAGATGATCTGTATTTTCATTAGAGCTTGAGGAGTACTATTTATTTTTAAAGTATATTTTCTCCCACCAATAAGCACTAGATCAATGTCAATCTCCAGTTTAAGAATCTTGAAGCGGTAATACTGTTAGTGAACTGAAAAATTTCTTACAGCTAGCTAAGCTTGAACAGATGTTTCTTTTGATTCCTAAAGGCACAAATCTTTCAAAATTGTATCACAATGAGAGAACAAGTAGGGAACATTTGAGGAAGTACAGAGGTATGGCTGGAGAGCTGTGAGCCAGAGGGAAAGTAAATGGTCAGGTCAGAGAGGAATGTGGGGAAAACTGTGGGACCATCTCTGTGGGTCTCTGAAGGGACTTTGGCTTTTATCTGCATGATATCAATGTAGATATTAATAGTAATGACAGGAGGGACTGGAGCAGAGGAGTAATATGTCCTCTGGTTGCAGCACAGGGTAAGGAGAGCAGGTGGAGCCCAAAGATTACTGAGTCACTTTGGGGAATGGCTGTGATGGCTGGGACCAGGGTGGTAGAAGGAGAGGTAGTGAGACACAGCTAGATTCTGATTATAGTATTTTGATAGTTGAGGCTACAGAATTTTCTAAGAATAGATAAAAAAAATTCAAGGCTGACTGTAGGTATTTTGGTCTGAGCAACTGGAAAATACGGGCTACTGATCTCAAAATTATTGAAACTGAAAACTGAAGGGGAAACAGATCTAGAGAAGTAGAGCAACCAAAAACCAGCTTTGTCATGACAAAGATGATGAACTGGGCTAATGCATCACTTTACTATTGCACTAAATGTAAAAAGTGGTCATTTTTCTTACTGGTTTAGTTCACATATGAATGATAAATCATGAGGTATTGAGCTAGGTTTTGGACTTTTATTACAATACGCCTCAAACAACCAAAGAATTTAAACTATTCAGAAATGTGTGGTCAGAAATGAAATTATAGTAGTGATTTAAATTAACTGATAGTCTATTAATAAAAAAGCCTCTATGAATTAGCGGTTTCATGGTTTGAAATTAAAATAGCTAGCAGTGTGGGTCGACTTTTGGCAGGGACCTTGTGAAGGACAGATGAGCCCTAGTGGAAGTCTCACACTGATGACCTTCACTAGGTGAATGATGACCTCCACTTAGTGATGACTAGGTGAGCCATCACAGAAGTCTCACAGTGATCATTTTAACCTTTAGGCAAATCTCTTACATAATGATGATTTCCAGCACTAACACCCTGAGATACACACTGAAATCAAAGAAAGCTGAAATTATACTCAATTCAATGTTCATACTATTTTTATGTGATATTAAAATACCCACTTCCCAATAGTACAGAATTTACTCTCTCTGCAATTTGCACCTGGCATTTGAAACATTTTGGTTGTAAGGATTAAATGAGGGTAACACATATATAATCCTTAGAAAAACTATAAAATAAGGCATGTAGTTATCTATTAAATACCAAGAGAATTACATTTTTAAAAAAAGAATCCAAAAGATATTTGATGAGTTCCTCAAGGACCCACAACTAGCTGGTGACTGACACTAGAACACAAATCTTCTTGGTCTTAAAACTTTTACCCATGTGAACTCAAATAAGAAAAAAAACTGACTTAAGAAGTTAGGTGTTTTATTATTATTATAACACATCAAGACATTTATTCTAAAAAATATCACCACCGAATAGCACAAAAATGATTTTTTGAGGTTGTTTCCTAACAGTTCCACAGATGCTTACCTTCAATTGTAAGTATGTTTTTGAATTATCAAAATGTGGCAACCCCCATTATATCTGGACTTTGCATTATCTATTACTGTGTGAGGGAGCATTTCTTAAAATTTTGTGTTATATTTAATAATTAATTTATATTTCAAAAAAATGTAATAAAACCTGATTTAAAGAACAGAAACATTATTCAGTTTAAAGTACAACATATTACACCATAAACACAATAGAATCTTAATGTCTGATAGATAACCTTGTAATTTATCTAGTCAACGTTCTAATCAATGTTAATTAAGATTATTCATGTACTCAGCTCATGAAGAGAACTTCTAGTTCTTACTACAGTATTCCTTACTCCCACATATCAGCCTTACAATAAATACCTAGTACCTCAAATTTTCCTAATATTCCATGCTACTTAAAACTCAGGTGCACTCAAACTTAGAATTAACTCTAATTAAAGATAAAGTTCAAAATACAAAATGCTTTCTCTTTCTTTTTTTCCAGGTTTTTCTCCTTTGAGAAAAACCTAAGGCATAAAAATCCAATTCTGGCATCAGAACCCCCCGCAAATTCACTTACTCTTAAGACTTATTTTAACTTTCAGTGTAGAGGAGGTACCTGAAAAAAAATATTCTCCTGAGTCTGTCCCACCTGTCTCCTCTATCACAACCTAAATAAATTTTCTTATTGACTATTAATCTATCAGTCAGGGTAGAACCTCGTGTCTAATCCACCTCCACTCCACATACTTAAGTTACTGGGCTTTAACAAATATGTGACATCCTTTCTGTCTTGATGTTAGTAGAATCCTGAACTTACCAAAACCAAAACCACACTTAACCCACACTTCAGTTTTATACTTGGACCAATTTTCAGAGAAGTGAGAGGAACCAGTTTCTTCTCCTAACCAAGCTACTTTTTTTTTTAATTTAAAAGTTCCTAAGTACTGTTGTTAAATTTGAACAATGTAATAGTATACAACTAAATATACACGTAAATAAATATAAAAGCAATTTACGTTTTCTCCTCTTAGTCGCCATCTTGTCATATAGATGAATTCCATAGTGTGATCCTTCCCCATGATTTCACCGTTGCACAGAACATCCAACTTTAAAGACAGGGAGATGGTAATGTAAGTAATTTTGAATTCATAAGCATTTTATACATTTTTCAAATTTTCAAAGATCCAAATAGTTACAACAAAATCAAAGTATTACCTTAAAATAATACAGAATATTTTTATTGAAAGCACTTTTCTTTTTCAGAGAATATTAACATTTCAGATATAAGTAACTGTCTTTCTGTATCCTATGAAGTTCACGCACATAATTCATGAAGGCAATGTCAGTCTCCTTTGTCCAAGTCTCTGCAACCTTAAAGGTCTTAATCACATTTCTGGTATTGCTCCTTACTGTAGCAAGCTCACAGTTCCTTTGGCTTCTGAGTTCATCTCTCAGAATTCTTTCAACCCAAGATTGAAAGGGGTTACCTTTTTCTTGTTAGTTTGAATTCAAAGAGGGTAACAAATATGGATATCATGAGTTACGGAGTCTTTGAGGTGCATGAGTCTAGTGATCACAGAGAGCTAAGTTGATACTACATTAGGACTATGTAGTTCTGTGTATTCTACGCTATCTGGCCTCTCTGCTTTGCTTGATTAATAACTTGCACAATATTTACAGGATCCTCTTCACCTTGTCTGAAATTTCAAAAAAGGGTTGGATTTATAAATGCTCACTTTTGCTCTAGGTTACAGAAACCAGGCAACTCCCCAAATCCTTAAGAAAGCCACAGGAACTTGGGCTATGATTTACTAATTTGACACTGCATATTTAACAAATGTTTATCATAAATTCCTATGATAAAATAACACTGCAGTTGTCTAGCTACTGAAGGCAACTAAGATTTCACTGGAAGTGGGGAAGGAAGAAAAAGAATGAGTTTTATATAATTCTGTATTGGGCTTGACAGAGACTTTGAGTCTAAAGTGACTACAGTCCCAATTATATTATACTTACGAAACAAAATGATTGGGTTTTGATGATTTATGATGCATATGAGCTTTGAAATGTTTTTTAGGCATCATTTTATTAACGCTTAAAAGCATAAAATAGATAACTTCCTTTTCTTTATCTTACCTGTAAAATAAATTCCTAAGCAAAGGAGTAAAGGGACTTAAGGGGTGCTTTACTGTCATTTAACAACTGAACTACCCTGCCCCAGTTAGCAATGCTCTTACAGAAGCTCCCACTGCGGTTACTTCCTCAAATTGTCCCCCACATTGCTGGGCAGCAAATTAATCAAGTTTAGATTGGGAGCCCAATCAAAACTTCTAAAAAAAAAAAAACAAAGGAATTTTCTTTGACTGAGATTGATAGGACAGATAAGACGCTTCAGAGGACTGAGTCCCTCTTCCTTGCATCTTTGTCAACAGAGAATTTATACATGCCAGAAGAAAGATTGAGAGCAGCAGTTTTCTTGACCTAACAACCTCCTGAAAACTGGAAAATGGTAACTCAGTGAATCAGACCTAAAAGTAAGGAGAAACCTGTGTATGTTTTTTTTTTTTTTAGTGGTACTATGGTTTTGAACTTTCTAGGCAAGTGCTCTATAACTTGAGCCATACCCCCAGCTCTTTTTGCTTCAGTTATTTTTCAGATAGGCTCTCAATTTTCCCCAGGTGGGCCTTGACCATGAACCTATGTATGCCTCCTGTGTAGCTGGGATTACAGGCATGAACCACCAGTCTGGCTTGTTTTTGAGGTAGAGTCTCATTAACTTTTTGCCTGGGTTGGCCTCAAACTAAGAGCCTCCTGCTTCTACCTCCCAAGTAGTTGGGCTTACAGCTGTGAGCCACCACACCTGGCCCTTTATGTAGTATTTTACAAGAAGAAAATAAAATGCAAAATCAAATAATTTCATTGCCTATTTTACCCTGTAGCTGTATCTATAAATAGTTATCATTTACTTTTTCTAAGTACATTGGGTTCTGATATCAATGTTCACAATTTTTTCCTAATACAAAATTAGTATCTCTGGAATTTTTAAATGTGAATTTTTAAAATTTGTAGGACCAAACTATAACAAAAAAAATTAACTCAGCCTAATAGTCATCTGAAATTTTCAAGTAAGTTCAAAATAGATGTTTCTTCAAAATATAGACTTTATATCTGTCAATGCCTGTGTACAAATTCTATGACATTTTGACATTTTATTTCTCCTATGATGACTATTCATGATATTAATATTACTCTGGATAAGCCAGAAGAACCATACTGCCTTTAACGTCTTTGTTTATAGACGTATAGGAAAGTAGTCCAGGTCTTCAGTTTCTCAGATGCCACTATTAGAACCCAAAGAGGAGGAAAGGGAAATTCATAAAAGTTGTTAAGTTTGCCTTTGGGCAGATGATGGTAGTCATATTTCCTTACTCTGTCATGTCCACCCCTAGGTCATAAATATTCTAAATATTGAACATAGTATGAGCTATGCTGTGATCAGTATGAGGGTAATTTGCCTCTCCTATAAATAAATTGGTAAATTGAATTTTGTGATGCAATATGTTGGTTTTACACAGTGTTAAGTAATGTAATTTTTGTATACATAGAAATATATTATCATTATTTATGACATCCTTTTTGATGAAAGACAATGTTTTACATTCTGAAGAAGTCCATAAAGAATTGGTAATAACTATATGCATGTATGGAAATATCACAAAGAAACTCCTCACTTTGTATAATTTAATAAAGTGATTTTAAAAACAATTGGTAATAATTGAGCTCAAAAGTCTCAGATAAAGAGTGATATATCCTAAAGCATGTTGGAATTAAAAAAATTAATTTAACTAGGATATTTATTTTGGGTATACTTAAAGTTCTTTAAACATCTCTTAATGTTTAAATTTACTAATATGACTTATTCAGGATATGTTAAATTATAAAAAAATACAAATGTTGCATCCTAAAAATTAAATTTTTAACATGAAGATGATCGAAGTTTCCACAAAAACTAATCTGAATACATCTTTGGTTAATTTCACTTCTCTTGTTAGAATTTTACTTTAGGTCGTAATTATTGAAATGATCAAGTTTAGATATTATTTAACTTACCTCATAAGAACTTGGAAGTTTCAGTTTTAAACTTAGAAATTTTTTAATAGTTCCCACAGTCACACGTGTAGAACATCGAATGAATTTCTTCATTAGACCCTAAAGGAAATAAAAATAACTAATTAAAACGTTCTACTTTGTTTTAATGAAACTACAGATAGTATTTTCAAAATGTTTAAGAATGTTTCAATTTATAGCTCTTAGTATATATCAGTAAAAATGTTCGGGTTTTTGTATACTTACATGGTATTCTTCAAGAATGCACTATCATGTATCCTAGGAAAATCCTGGTAAATAGATAATCTGCTTATCTCTAAGACATTTTTGTAAATAAAACATCGTAAGTTTAAGAATAACAGAGGTCAGGCACAAGTGGCTCATGCCTATAATCCGAGCTACTTGGGAAGATGAAATCAGGACAGTCACAGTTCAAGGTCAGCCTGGGCAAAATAGTTCTCAAGACCCAATCTCCAAAACAACCATACAAAATGGATTGGAGGTGTGGTTCAGGCAGTACAGTGCTCACTTTGTAAGCATGAAGCCCTGAGTTCAAGCCACAGTACCACCAAAATAAAAATGAAAACAAAAACAAAAGTCACGAAAAACATGTATTTTATTACATAGTATCACTTCTGTAAGCATTGATAACATTTTCTAAAACATGATGCCACAATTTTAGAAGGAGCAGAGATTTCAAGTGAGATGCAACAGAGAGGGGCTAGATAGACCACTGAAGTCTCAGGAAGGAAGTACTTCGCAATGTGGACTTTGGGTTGAGGAAAATCGTGCTCCTCTGATGGACTGTAGAAGCATTTTACTGTGAAAAACAAAGCTCCATGTGCCTTCATGTGTCTTATTTGTAAAATGTAGACAGCAGTACTAATTTACTCTTTAAGCATGAATATGACTAAAATATTAGAATCAATCCAGAATGGGCACTCCAACTAAAAAATGAGACAAAATGAGACTGTAAACATGATAAGTATGTGAACCAATATGTGAAACAAAATTACATTCCTTTACTTAAAAATCTATATGAATACTGAAACAAAACAAAAAACAGAGTTTTCAAAACATAATGTGTCATTCCTATTTATACGTTACAACAAACTGACTCAACTTCTGGAACAACATCTCCAGAAAGGAGACTACTGGGACTAGGGCTGGGATTCAAGTGGTAGACACTTGCCTAGCAAGTATGAGGCTCTGAGTTCAATCCTTGGTCAAGCAAAACAAGCAAAGAAAGAGGAGACTATCAAGGCAGGGGTAGTTCATTTTTAGATGAATTTCTAAGATTCAGTGTTTCAGTTGGGTGTGTAGTATAGTTTCATAATACCAGCATTTGGGAAGCTCAGGCAGGAGAATCTCAAGTTCAAGGCCAGCCAGGGTTATAGAGCAAGACCCTATCTCAAAAATAAACAAATAGATAGAGAAAGAAAATAAGATAAACATAAAATTCAGTGTTTAACTTTCATATTAAAATTCATGCAGAGAAACAGATGTCACATTTATTTATGAAAAGATATTCGGCCTTTCCATTGACCTAACTTTCACTTTGGGATAACAACTCATGTATTAGCTAAAGGATGATAACAATCTCCATGAGGAAGAATGTTTCCAAAAGGAGATTATAGAAGTGGCTGGCAAGAAGAGTTACAAAAATCCTGATGAAGATATTTATAAAAAAGGAGAAGTGTTGACGTAAAACATAGAACATAAAAGCAACAGAGAACCAGAAGGATCAAGAGGCAGAGTGGTCAGTTCTCTAAAGGTGGCTGCATTTTATAACATGCCTCATCCAGTTAACTCCCAAACTAATTAATAATCTTACTGCATTGTAACTGTTTGCTTGTTATGTGTAAGACAAGCAAGTTTCTTGAATGGCACCTTTTTCTCTTATTAGTTACATCATTACTGTGTAATATTCACATAGTAGATAAATATTCAGTGAATTACCATGCTCATGTATATTTTTTGTTGCAAGATACTGAAAAAGTTAATCTGAACTGAAAATTTGGTTTTCATTTCCTAATAGAAAAATATAATTAAATATATTAGTAAAAGTTCAATCCAAGGCTTACAGATTTACATAGAGGAAGTGAAAAGAAAATTAGAGACAATGGAGGGCTGGCAGCATGGCTCAAGTGGTAGAGCGCCTGCCTAGAAAGCTGTAGGCCCTGAGTTCAAATCCCAGTGCAGGAAGGAGAAGGAGAGACAGGGGAAGAGGGGGCGGCGAGAGAGAGAGAGAGAGAGAGAGAGAAAGAAAAGAAGGCCTTCAAGGAATTCAAAAGTTCCACAGGCACTTTATAACACACAAAACCAGTTGATTATGTAATTCACAAAATATATTAGCTTTGACATGGGAAGCCTACTGAGTTGAAAATAAAGGACAAAATTTAAAGGAAACGAATAGAAGTGTTATAGAAGTATGAGAATCACTGCTGACATGAATTTATCTGAGTTTGGCTTGCTTACCGCTCTTTATAAAGACAGAAACAATGCATGTGAACTCCCAACAGAATTATAAAAGGAGGTGGAGAGGAGAGATTATTGGTGTGTTTTCCGCATTAGCCACTAGGTGGTGGCATTGGCCCAGGATGGTTGGGGAATAAAAAATAGATTTCTGGAGTAAACAATAGCTTGACCATTTGTAGGTACAGGACTGTCAGAGAATGGCATTCTACTGGATTATGTTAATAAAAACTTTGGAAGAAAACATTTTGAACTATTAGAAAATTCATTAATAAATTAACCAGGGTTTAATATAAACTGATCATTAAATATACAACTGTGCTTGTCCACTCACCTTTACTACGTTGTCCCCTGATTGCCCATTATTTCGTAAACAATCTAGACAGATAGCAATTTGTGGGTCACTTCTATGATAGTCCTTATCATCTTGATTTTCATCGCCTTCTTCATCTACTTTAGGTTTGTCAAGTTTTGAACCATCATCTGTGCAATTTAAACAAAACTAAGTTAGAAATAACTCAAAATTTAACCAATATACATTACTCATCAAAACAAAATCAACCTTAAAACATTCCTAACAGTTTTTGAAGAATAACTAAAAATTTTAATATCTTTAAACTGCTCTAATCAAGTCAACAGTGGAAATATTTTTGAAAAACCATCAGAAGCTTAACATATCCTAAGATTTCTAGTCTCTCTGGGACATCCGAAAGAAAAATTTTGGATTGAACATATTTGGTCAGAAAAATGACTGAAATGAGTGATTAGACCATTTTAGAAAGCAGACAGGACATAAAAATACTTCCAAATGCAATATGTATATTTTCAAGTTAAAAGCCAAGTATTCACTTTTAAAATTATAATATTCTCTTTATGTTCTCAAAATTTCAAATTAGATATGCATAAGATAGTGAAAATGATAATAAATTAGTACTTAACATGTAAGTCTGTAACATATTAAACCTCCTTTTAAGAAATATGAATGGCAGACTTTATATTATATACAAAGGTATTTAACATGTGCTATAGCCTATAAATAATGCAACTGTACTTACTGATGCATTCATCTGTTATATACTTTAGTGATGTATTAGATTGCACTCTGCTAGGCCCAAGGGAACAAAAATGCAACTACCTATGCTTGTATTGGTCAGAGTACAGGATGAGGTAGATTTGTGGCGGGGGGTATGAGGTTGATTCAGAGAAAATTTTCATTGAAATATCTTTAAGTTTAAAACTTGAAAAAGTTAGAGAAAGCCAAACATTACACTGTAGAGTACCCATGACAGGTCAGCACCCCCCATCAATAAATATAGTGAAAACTCTTAAAGATGAACCACAGAGAGATGAGCTTTCTTTTATGTGATCTATCCCCCATATTTATATAAAACCCACATTAACAGAAGCTGCCTTTCAAGAATCAAACTCCCAATTCCAAGATCCAAATTCTCCACCCAAACTAAAGACCAAATACCAAAAGTACTTTTTAAAATGGAGAAGCAAGGGGAAAGAGGAGATAAAATTCACAAGGCAGGATACAGTCCTTCACAAGTAATCTATAATATAAAAAATTATAGACCAAACCTACCATATAACTTCTGATGACAATTCTTTGTGCTACTGGACTCTTGAACAGGTAGTCAAAAATTGGGACAGTTAATTAACTTTCTATTTGCATTTTTACTATAGCATTAGTATCTAAGTTGAATGTACACTTCTGTAAAACAAGCCTTCAGTTAAGTCATTTTAGCTTCTTTGCGCATTTCACTGCTATATAAAAGAATAGTCCCTTGCTACCTCATTCCAGCCATCAAAAATATTCTGAAACCTCCCCTGCTTACGAAACAGTCCTGCATAGTTAAGTCAAACTAATAAAACCACAATCCCCATATTACAGATGAAAAAAGCATTTTCTTGTCCATCTTAGAATGTTTAATTGGCAATTCTATGGCCTCATTGGAAAACCAAGGGTGGAGACTCAGTTCACAAATGAGTCTATAAGGACACACATATGTACTTGAAATTCGATTTCAAAGGTACTTAGGACATCTTGAATGAAATCTCTTATTTAAATAAATGGGAACTGATATTACTTCCCATTTTATATATCCCTTTGTGTGGATAATATGCATACTAAAAGCCCTTTCTCTGGCCAGTAATGTTTGCTCCTTTGTTGAAATTATTAAAAATTACCTGGGACCCAGAGGAGAAATTTGGACACTTGTCATAGGTGATGGAAAAAATCCAATAAATACATAGAAATATTTTATAAATCTCTAGGACAGGTAGTTTGCATTACTGAGCTCTATCTATGAAAATTTCATTCTAGAGTACCAGAGCATAGCAAAATCCCCTGATCTGGCTCTCAGCCACATCTCAGTCCCCTCCCCTATTAAAATGAACTTATAAAATAAATAAAACAAAAAATATCCACTATTTAGTTGCAAGTTAAGACAATTTACTACTTCAGATTCCTTTTTCTCTTCAGATATTATTGCTATAATCATCTATTCAGCTTTCTCTTTCATCTGCATTTTCTTGCCCCAAAGTCCAATTTCCTCTATTTCCAATTACCCTCAACTGAAGTGGGTCTAAAGTTACACGGATTTAGATAAAAATCTCATGAAGGGGTGCATGATTTTGTTCAGGGAAATCTTGAGCTTGAAGACAGATTATTAGTTCACCAAAGCAACAAAAAGCTAACCAATTTGAGAGGCACTGTTAGGTATAGGCATAAAAAATTACCTTGTCCATTTTCTTGAGGCTTATTTTTCTTCCAAAACTCAGATTCACGCTCAAGTTCTTCTAATTTAAAAAGAAAAATAAACATAAGATCATAGGAACAATCATGAAATCTTTAATAAAAATGCTGATTGCATAAACATGAAAGTCTATAAAAGCCTAAAGGGCCACTTACGTTCTCGTAGTCCGGGCACCAGCTTAAATATAATTTCTTCCAATGTATTATCCAACCTTCAAAAGGGGAGTAAGGATACACTAATAATGAAGATATCAAAATGTAACATGCGAACAGCTTGAGATTCTAACATGTATGTGTTAAAAAATTCAGAACACAGATGATTTTAGCATGTCTTTCTACAACAAACTCTTCAGCAGAGGAGAACACTATTTGTAGCCTTCCCCAGTGGTATACAAGTAACAAAAATGGCCCCAGTCCCCAGCTCTTTGTCTACATTTTCTGAACATCCCTTTGAAACTTCTCTTTTGATTAAGGGGTATGGAGTCCAGGATCTGGAGAAATGTAAACCCTGAGAATACAGGTTGGCCTTGCAACTTGCTTAGATCAAGAGAAGCTGGCACCAGTACTGTGCTTAGTTGAGCTAAGTCTTGCTATGCTTTTGCTTGCTCTCTCTCTCAGCATCTTGGTGTTATGAGAACAAACCTGGAGGAGAGGAACCATACAGAGGGAACTGCCCTGCTGCAGCCAACTTAGTTCAGTCCTTTGCCAGCCCATTTCCAGTACACGGCAGAGCCCCGCCATGAGCAGCAGAGCAGCCTACCCGATGTGGCACAGCTGACGGCAGTTGCAGGAGTGCCCAGCCAAGCCCAGAAGAGCCACCTGCTAAGCTGTGGTGAGGAAGGGCTCTCAAGCACTCACTTAGGGGTGGTGTGCCCCACTCTCAAAATTCCTACCCCAACTCTGCTCTTTCCTAAGAAGGAAATCATCTTCAAGCCTCTTTTCTGAACAATTCAGACCATTCAGTCATTCTGCCTTCCTATATATGAAATTCCATATCTTTGTTGACATTTTCCCTGTCTTTTCTTGCTCTACAACCCCTCATTTTCATAGCTTCATTCTTCAACCGTTCTCTTACCCCACAGCACCCCCCCCCACTTCATCTCTAACAGCATTACTCTTCTCTGACTTCAAACATGCATATTTCTCACATCTGGAAAAGCAAAAACTTTTGCTTAACCGAGTATCTTTTTGAGCTATTTTTCTGCTTCTCAATCTTCTCTCCTAACTGGAAAAAATTTGAAATCATTATCTATATCATTTCTGTCACATACTCTGTTTTGCTTCTTCTTACCCTCCTGAACTCTCAAATCATTCATAACTTCATACTAAATAGGTTTAAAGGCCTATATTTATTTATTTTTGTTAATACTATGGTTTATACTCAGGGCATTGTGATTGCTAGGCAGGCTCTCTACTACTTGAGCCACACAGCCAGCCCTTTTTGCTTTAGGTTATCTTTTAGATAAGGTCTCACATTTTTTCCCCCAGGTCAGCCTCAGACCACAATCCTCCTATCTAGGCCTCTTCCATAGTAGGGATTAGAGATGTGAACCCCACTTGTTGGATGGGGTTTCAGTAACTTTTTCCCTAGGTTGGCCTTGAACTACAATTCAGTTCTGATTTCCACCCTCTGAGTAGCTGGGATTACAGTTGTGAACCACTGTGCTTGGCTGTAAGTTTTTAAATCTAAATTGTTCTGCAGCAATTTGACAATGTGACTTAACAATAGCTCACTGAACATTTTCATTCCCATTTTTTTCTCCTGTCTGTTCTTTCTTCATCCCTAAATATTTTTCTTTATCCAACCAAATCCCTCAGTATTGGTGGTGGATCGGTTACAGGACTCCTTCAGATACCAGAGGATAGTCAAGCCATTTATATAAAATGGTATTGTGTTTATATATAACCTATAACCTATGCACATTCTCCCACATGCCTCAAGTAATCTCTAGAGTGCTTACAATACCTAATACAATAAGATGTTATAAACAGTTAACATATGGTACTGTTTAGGGAACAATTATAATTTAAAAAGTCTGTATGTGTTCATTATAGATGTGTGATTGATTAACCCACAGGTACAGTGGGTTGACTGTATTTCTAAATCTGAGTATTTCACTTTGTACTCTACTTTTGTGGCTTGTAACTAACATGTAGGCAGTTAATTTTGTTTGTCTGCCTATTATATCTTTTTTTTTTTTTTTGGTGGTGCTGAGGTTTGAACTCAGCCTTGTGCTTGCAAGGCAGATGCTCTACTGCTTGAGCCATGCTTCCAGCTAATCACACCTTTCTACTGAGCTTATTTCAAACAGATGCTGAACACCTCAGTCACCTCCTTTTATTCATCTATGTCAAGTTGTCTCATCAACACTCCTCCAACAAAATACTCAACACCTTTCACTGTCACTATCTTTTATCTTTTTTAAATTGTTGTGCTGGGTAGGAGTACATTGTGGCATTTACAAAAGTTCTTACTATATCAAATATATCCCACTTGAATTCACCCCTCCACCATTCTCCTTTATCCCCACTTCCCTTATTCCTGAAACAGTTTCAACAGGTCTCGTTTTTCCATTTACATACATGTTTTAAATGATACTACAATTCTTCCAAACAGACTCCAAATGAAAGAATTATCTTAATTTCTCTCTCAATTCACATACTTCTCACCAAGCCTTATTCCAGCTCCTCAATTTTTCTCCGACCTACCCTCTTCTCACTACTTATCTGTCCATTTTCTATCCCTGCCGCATCACAGCATGACACAGAACTAGTTCCCTTTAACTGGACATGCTCAGAATGGTTTGTTCTAAGGTACAAATGTGATCATTATTTCCCAGCTCAGAAGCTAATTTCTCCCTACTACCTGGCTTCAAGTGCTTATATAACTTGAGTCTGATCTATACACTGTAACTGGTGCACCCTTCATGTTTTTCATCCTGGCTTAAGTACTCACCAATCACACTGATGTCAACCTTACTTTTTTAAGACAACTCAAACACCAACTCTTTTGCAAAGTTTTCCTAGACTAGTACATAAAAAATAACACTTCCTTTTAAAATCATTTTTAATCAAATACATGTACATAATTTAAAAAATAAACTTCTCTAAAACTTCTATTAAAATACAACATTCTCAGGTCCCATCCTTTTCCTATAATCCTAGAGACAACCATTTTAAAACCCAATCTCTTTCTTCTAGTATTTACTTTCATATTTCTATTTTTAAAAAGCCATAATTTTTTAGCTGTCTAGATTTTTTCTGACTTCCTTTTAGGAACAATAATGCTTAGTTCTCTTCCACTATCCTGTCACTTCCTTTACTTCAACACACATTTTTTTAAACCCATCTTCTCAATATAATATTATTACCAGTATCTTTATACACCTAGTTTTATTTTTGTTTAATAATACTATTTACATGATTATTATTAAATAAATAACCATGGTGTTGGGTGTGTTACTCAGTGTTAGAGTGCATGCTTAACATGTGTAAGGCCCCGGTTTCGATCCCTAGCATGCATGTGCACATGCACACACACACACTCTCACACTCACACAATTGCGCACACACACACATGCACACTCTCTCACACTCACATGCACACACCCACTCTCACACACACGCACTCACACACACATACACTCGCTATGTACGCTGATTATTGATATCCCTCAGTCAGCTTTTTAAAAAATAACTGCTTCCTTTTAATTTTCTATGTACCTATTCTTGAACTCTCATAAAAAAACCTCTTCTCACTATGTACAAATAGATCAGGAATCGACATTACATTTCTGCTTCCTCAGAGACATTCCTCACCATCTGATGTCCTCTCTGTTCTCTTAATCCAGTTTAAGACTGGTATGATCTATGGCCAGTCATTAAAATCATTCTCTCACATACAATTTTTTTTTTCTTTTTAGACAGGGTCTTGATATAATCCCAGGCTGGCATCTCAATCCTCTTGTCTCACCCTCCTGATTACATATGCTTGTGATTCTCTTGTCCCTCTCTTACTTGCTCAAAATTATTTCATCCAACCGTAACTCTCCATCAACTCTGCACTTTTACCATGTCTGGAAAAGAAAACAACCACAACTCTTCAAATTCATAATTACAATCTGAATGTGTCTGTAATGCCTTCAAGAACCATGCCACGCTTCCCTGTGCACTTATTCTTATTCTCTCCCGGGCAGCACACTTTTCTCTCCTACGTCCCCTTCTCTATCCTTACTCTTGGCTGATGAACATGTTCTCCTCAGTGAAAAATACTGAAGCAATGCAAAACAAACTTCCACAGATTGTGGCTACCGTATCTACCTGCATCATCCGCATCTGAAAATAACTGCAACTAAAGAGAAAGAGAGACTAAGAGAAAGTTGCAAATTTTAATGTGCAAATGTATATTGTAAATACTTAAGATACAGTATTTTTTAACTCTTTGAAATAAAATTATTTAAAATGAAAGTCACATACAGGAGGGCCGAACAGGTCCTGAGGAGGGCTGGGCGGGGGGTGGTAAGAGTGGGAGGGAGGAGGAGGTGGGGAAATGGTGAAGGAGGGTGAATATGGTGCAAATACTGCATACACATGTGTGTAAATGGAAAAATTATAGCTGCTGAAACTGTTCTAGAAATGGGGGAGGGGATGGGGATGAAGGAAAATGGTGGAGAGGGTAAATTCAAGTATGATGCATTTGATATAATGCAAAACTTTTATAAATGGCCACAATGTACCCCCACCCAGCACAATAAAAAAAAAGAAAAAGAAAAGAAAAGAAACAGAAGGAGAAAAAGTTGGTATATAAAAGACATAAGCAAATTAAAACCTTTTTTAAAAGTTAAAAAAAATGAAAATCACAAAATTCTTAAAGACTTAAATCAACTGAGGCAAGACATCACGAAATAACATGATATATAATAAAAATTAAGAGTTTATACAATTAATCCAAATTAGACAAACTGTAAAATACATTTCCTTACCTCAACATTTCTAATGGATTTGTTTCATGAACTTGGTTGCCACACCTTGGACAATCATTGCTGTCTTCAAAGTGCTGGACAATACAAGTTTTACAGACTAAGAAGAAGAGGATGTTAGGTTAAAATGTGTCAATGGAATCATCACTTGAATTTAAAATTAAATTAACTGCAACTAGAAAAGTTTTCAACATTAACTACTACAGGTAGAATACAAATATTTAACCAAACTTTATAAATCTTAAAATTAAAACATTATAATGATTCAATTGAAATGAAAGCCTAGTCCCAAAATGTAAAAAGCATATATTATTTTATTTACTGTTTTTATTAAGTATGTTCACAAATCAAACACTACTCTAGTCATATTCCTTTAAAAAGCTAGTGCATTTTTTCTCATTTAAATCAGTAGAACAGAGAAAAGTAAACTGTTTTGTATGTCTTTACTTCTTTTGCTAAAAACTTATTTGAATGAAATATTAATAGTTCTTAATAAAACTGGAAGGGCTGGGGATGTAGCTCAGTGGTAGACTGCTTGCCTAGCAAGTAGGAGTGACGCACTAGGTTAGATTCCTGGCATTGAAAAAAAAAACTTGAGAATTTTCAATATGTTTGGATTATTTTAATTGGTGTGCTGCTTCTAGACCAAACTGGAAGTTACAATGGAATTTCTGTCCCTTGCAGAATATAGTGGATTTGTGCTCATAGGTACCACAATTCTATGGAGCACAAGCTGTGGGTAATGGCATCAGGTTGGTACAAAGACATAAGAGGAAAACTGGATGATTGAGAAACTGACTGGGATAATTAAAATTTTAAATAGAGAGTCTACAAAGACAACGAAGTATGATTTGTGTATCTGGTGCATAAACTTATACAATCCCACATTTCCTTCAAATAATACTAATCTCTCTGGCTATAAAATTCTTTTATCTTTTACCTAAACTTCTGTTTCCTATTATTCCAACTGTTTTGCCCCAAAACCTTAGACGCATTTATAGCATCTGAACTACAAAATTTCAAATCAATTTCCTATCCCTCTCCCATGTTATTATCTTGATATAAATTGGATACCTCACTCCCCTTTTACAATTACATTCCAAGCTACTCTGTTCTCATGCCCCATACTATCTAAAAGAAGTTTATCTAAATGACTGGTAAAGAGCAAACAGTAGGATTCCTATCACTGAGATTAGGTCTGAAAAATTCAAATCTATCATATACATTGGTGAGAGCAACAATGGTTAGAGAGAACTCCACCAGGTATTTAATTTTAAAATCATTTAATACATATAGAAAATAACATCTTAGCATTTCTTTCACTTGTTGATTTATTGATTGAATTAACATTTACTGAATTCTCAGTATTATACTAGGAGTTGAGGATGCAGGGGTAAAAAAAACTAAGTCCCTATCCTTATAGAGCTTATATTCTATCTAGTAAGGCAAGCAGATCATTTTAGTTAATGATAGGTGATATTTTTATTCCCTCCAGTTCCCCCAAAAAGTCAGAGTCCTGAAAGCAAGCATCTATTTAGATAGAGTGATCAAGCAGGCCTCCCTGAAGCCATATTTGAGCGCCTTTTTTTATTGGGTGACTATGTTTAAATCCCATTGTTTCTAATTCTCCTCATCCCATACAGCTATTTAGGATAACACCACCTTCACTATAATTCTCCCAAAACTGTGGTGAAAGACAGTACCAGAAAAACATTTTTAAAAGGTTAGGAAGGAAAAAAATAGCCTAGCATTATCATGCAGAAATGATTATCTCTCCTGCTTCTCCAATTTTTTAACCCCAAAATGGTCTCTCTCTCTCTCTCTTTTTTTTTGTTGTGCTGGGGTTGAACCCAGGACTTTGCACATGCTAGGCAAGAGCTCTACTCCTGAGTGACATCCCTGGCCCTTTACATGTCTTTTTTTAAAAATCAAAATAATTTTTGAGAAGAGAGGGATGCCTTATTTAGCCAAATTGAAGTAGAGTACAGAGAAGCTGAATTCCTTTAAGAAGATAGCCAGTATTTGCTCTTTTCCCAGGGACACAAGGTAAGTCTCTGAAATTCAGGAGAGAGGCAAAAAAGAATAGATAAGAAACAAGAGTGAAGGGGTTTGATGAAGCCTGGTCCTGACCTAGAGCTCTGATCCTTGTGGTTCAAAAGCCTTATCACAATCAATGGATTCGGCAGTTCTTAGTTATCTACCAACCTTGACCAAACCGAGAGGTACAATGTCATACCAGTAGCAAATTATCATCTGGGTCAACCAAAATGCTAACGATAGGACTCTAGTTCCCAGGGGAAAAGATTCTAATCTATGTAGCCTGATAAGAGAGATGAAGGCTCAATGCCCAAAGGTGAATACAGTTTTAAGAATAAGGCTATGATAATTGCTTGAGGCCAAAGCACCCTAGCACCCAGAACACTGTCAGGGAATACTGATATATGTGGTAGGTCTGGACTGTCCAATATGATAGCCACCAGCCACATGTTGCTACTGAGAAACTGAAATGTGATTAGTTCAAGTTGAAATGCACTGCAATTGTAAAATACACACTAGAGTTAATATTTAATATAAAAAAAATCTCAATTTTTTCGCTAATTATATATTGAAATGAAAATATTTGATCTAGCTAGATTAAATATATTTGAATTAAATTAAGTTTGTTTTTTAAATGTGGCTATAGACAAATTTTAATTGCACATGTGGCTCACATTTATATCTACTGAAGAGTACTGTTTGTTAGAGGTAGAGACAGAAACTCCCATAGAGAGGTAAGTTTATTTTTCATACCAACATTTGAGGTACAGTGTCTTACTCCACTTTTGCAGATGAGAAAGGAAAGATTTCATATGCTAGGTTGCCTGCCTACTCTGGTGAATGGCAGCAGAGACTTTAATCCGGTTCTCTGATATGAACTTTTTAAAAAGTTTTTTCAGAGACCTAGGTCAAAAACCAGTTTCACTATTTTTTTTTTTTTCAGTGCTAGAGAATGAACCCAGGACCTTGCACATGCAAGGTAAAAACTCTATCACTTGAGCTATGTACCTGGCCCTTTTGCTTTTATTTTGTTTTTGAGACACAGTCTTGCTGCTACTTTGGCCTAAACAGGTCTTGAACTTGCAATCTTCCTGCCTTTGCCTCCTGAGTAGCTGGGATTACAGGCATCCCAACACACCTGACACTAATTTTTTTTCAGATAGTTTTTTAAAAAGAAAATATTAAGATGTTGATCAATATAATATTTTTATTTTAGTTTTCCTTTTTGTTCAGATGTTGTGGTGGTGGTTGTCATTGTCATCTCATCAACACATAAAAGGGTTTACATACCAGACACATCCCAAATATGTATATGCACCCACATGTTTTTTCAAACTGTATGTACATATGTGTATTTGTATATTCTATTCAATATGCATTTAACCCAACACAATCTAACAGTTTGACCCTCATTACAACCTTATTAATTAGGTAGCATTATTAGGCCTTTTACAGATGAGGAAAATGAGTAAAAATCATGAAGCCAGTAAGTGATGAGAGCCAGGACTTGAATCCAGAGTCCATTTTCTTAACCAATGCACATTTGTCCCATACCTTTGCTTCTAATTTTACCTCTACAGATCTACAATACATAGACTAGGAATCCCTTTCCATTGATTTGGGAGCATTACAGAAGTCAACTTGTAGAATTACATCTCTTTTTAACATATTCTGCACAAGATAGTCCTTTCAAGTACGTTATTTGCCTCTTTAGAAACTCTAGAAAACATCTGTCACATGGCTTTTAAAAGCTGTTCAATAGAGCAAAAAAACATATATAAATTAAAATTGAGGAATCCAGACTAGTTCAACGACACTGAAAAAGTAAAACGGGGATGTGATTTCCTTAAGATGCTTAAAAAACTTCTCATCAGTAGAAAACTGACCTGTGAGTCTTAGTTTATAATTTGAAATCTATACTTAGCAGTACATTTAAAAAATTTCTTAAAGATTTAATATCAAGCTCCCGAAATGTGCATCTGCTAACTGGTTAACTCAATTGGTCCCAAGATGATGTTAAAAAGGCCTGTTTTATGGTTAAGACTATGTTTGGAAAACAACTAGTTCCATTCTCACCAGCCATTTTAGAAACAGAGGGTACAATTGCATGAAACACCTGGCTCAGAAATGGAGTTAGGCTCACCAAAGATATCCCCAATTAGAAAAACACTTCAATAACAGTTAAGTGCTAACATTTATTAAGTACTAACCAAATATCAGGCTCCGGACTCAGATCTCTGTATGGACTGTTATCATTCCTCTTTGGCAAATGAAGAACAAAATTTCAGTGTACTGGAGAACCTGAGAAGGCTGCCCACAGCTGCCCAGCAATAGCAAAGAGGGCATGCCCAGCCCTGCAGCTCCAGGCTTAAAATATGAACAATGTATCTCGGAATGAATAACATTTGGTCCCTACCTTAGGCGTGCTAGGCAAATGCTCTGAGCTACACCACAGCACAAGACTTTGTATTTTTAATTGATCTTTAGCTTTAGCTCACAAATATCATTACTAAAAAAACCTACTAAGTGAATTCCTTATTTCTTAGATTTGAACAAGGTCGTTATACAAATTAATAGAAAAATGACCAAGTCATCTGAAGCGGTTTTTCTCAAATTTAGATGGGTATCACCATCACCAATGAGTTTTTAAGGAAAAGATTTGCAGACTCCCTCCTACCAATTAAATCAGAATATCTGGGAGATTAGCACCAGGACTAACTCTGAGAAGCCCTCTTAACAATGCAGCCAAGAGATACCTGGGGAACATCAGCTAAAGCGAGGCCAGGAATTGGTCACAAAATACTGGCTAATACCTGTTAGGGTGACCCCGCTCCAGGATTTGGTTCTCTGCTAAACCATAATTGGAGGTCACTTTATTATCAAAAACCAATGTCACAAGACAAGATACAATCAAAAGTATATGTGTGATTAATGTGCTCTTTTTCACAAATAAAAATAGGTATGACTAATGCATGCATAATGTAGATGTCCATGAGAAGCCCTGATGGTATAGCATGGTGGTTCCAGATAAAATCCTGAGGCAGACTGCCTGGATCTGAACCC